AGCCCTGTGTTTTACATGGGACTCGAACCAACGAAGACGTCTACACCTCAATGTGTTTATCCGTTACATTGCGAAAGGTCATCGTTGTCTCCTCTTGTTGGTAGCTCAATAAATGCAGAAGCTGCGAACATTTCTTACAAATTCTCGGCAAAGCTGCTAGGGCTCAATCTTTTAAATTACTGGTAAATAGTGTTCACAACGGCCAGACTTCTCTTTTCGTCTGCTCTGATGCGCATGCGTGTACCTCTGCTTCTGTAGTGAAAGTCGGGTACACGGCGTAACCCAGTTCACACTCAGCCGCTTTTTTTTACTGTTTTAGAATAGGGTATGCTACCTTCGCAGGAAGCCACTTTGCAAGAAATATGATCACCCCGATTCCCACCTTACTCCATTCGCATGACGTATGTTCAGATTAAGTTCGAAGTAGCAAATATTCATAAATTATGAGAGAACGTCGAAAAATGTAGGCAAACTGAGTTCTGACGTAATTAATGAACTCTTCATGCTTGCCAATCGAGAGTGAAGGGTGAAATTTCACACGACCAATCGCTTTCATACTTTTTGCTCAACTGACCAAGTGGTGCTAGACGTGCTAGTTGGGTAGATTCTGTAAGATTTTGTGTAGACCGCCTCGATGGCTGACGATTTTTCGTGATATCAATGATAAAACATTTTGAGGTTTTACTTGAATTGCAGGAAATGATTCCCTTCTTTGCCGAGGTACTCATCACTGCGATAGCTGTTCCATTGTGTTTGGTTGGCCTTTTTGGAAACATCAGTGTACTCTGGGCAACTGCGACTGATCATCAATTACACCGGAAAATTTGTTAGTTTTCCGGTTGTTGATTACAAATGTTTTTAAATATTTGAAAAGCGAAATTCGAGATTTCCCAAGTGTTCATCAGGTCTCATTCCAAGAGCCGAGGGGAGGACTCTCAGTAGTTATGCACACTCTAAAATAGCGTGAGTGGGGCCTACAAGAATTAGATGCATCTGGTTTACGAGGAAATAAAAAAAGGAATGAAATTAGAAGTTTCAGGTCAGAAATGATACTGTAAGTTAAAGAAAAGAAATATTGCGAAAGGAATGACCTTTAAGCCATTAATATGCAATAATGACCTAATGATACTTCTAATTAATAAATTATTATACACAGGAGAATCATTCAGTCAGGAATAAATCGTTTGCAGTCACTAATTTGGTGGCAGTAGCAATGAGAGAAGGTAGCACTGAAGGCAGTGCTCAATTGGCTGAGAATTGGCAGCGGAATCGGAAAGGTAGTGCACTGGGTTGGAAGTGTTTACCCTTGCTTCCTGCACCTAATGTGACAATTATATGAGGAAGAGGGGATCTCGGGTGGAAAAGATGGGCTGGCCAGTCGAAGAGCCAGGATTAGCTGATACCACCTCTGAGTATGTCCCGAGTCGCTCGTAGATTATGCCTTGAGCTAGGCGTCTCAGCGTGATTTTTTCCAAGCTGACGAAGGGAAGGTCTACTCCCTCCTAGCTGGTAGACTAATTGATTTGAACCCCTGAAACTCAGTTGTCAGTGAGCGAGACAACAGCTGGATATGCCAGGGTTGAATGGGGATATAACAGTGATTTTCCCGAATACCCTGGTCCAATGATCACCACACATTTGCATGTCTATCCTGCATAGCTTACCATCAATTCCTTGGCGTTAGCAACTGTTTCCTAGTCGTCGTTCATTGTTAAAGTCTCTGAGGATCAAGACAAGATAGAATGAGTCGCATAGTGGGAATTTGGGTTACGATGCCAGGAGCTGGGTGTTCGCTTTTTGACTGCTCCTCTATATCCTCAAATGTTCCTTTTGAGCCCGTTTCCTTCTACTACAGAGCCTCCCAAGCTAGGTTATACATCATGTTGACGTCTCGATCTAGGTGCACATAACGGGGCACTCATAGATACTTTCATCGCAGGGCGGCAAGGGTTCATTAGGGACCACCAAATCCCTCAAAATAAAAAAATATGTATCAGTTCCATCCTGACATTGTTGCTTGCAGGCTATATTGTTGCCGTCATTGCTTCTTTGCATCTGATCTGCCTTCTCAATGAGCTATACCTTGAAGCCGCACAAATACGGTAATAAAGAAAATAAATTTTATTAAACGTGTCGCAAAGGTCCCTGCCTTCAGATTTCATGCCGCCACACGTTCGGAGTGCTTTCGTCAGACTTGCCTTTACATCTTCGCAATGGTGGCACAATCGGTAATGTTTTTCATGATGGCGGTGGACTACTTGCTGGCTGTGGCAATGCCTTTGAAGTGGGTTTGTCCTTTCATTTGTTACCACTCTACCAAATTCGCAATCCTTGTTCAGCTTCAAGCATGAGAATGGCGGAAGTACCATGAACCAAGGTCTGAGAACTGCTTCATCGTTTTTCCCGGTTAACTTCCACCTCCCCTCGAATATTCTTGGTGTCTATTAGCTTATTGGCCCTTATATGGTGCGCCACGTATAAAACTTCCCTTCGGAATTGATGTAGCGTTAGGATGTGTACTTGGCTCGTACAATAAATTATCTCGCCCCTCACCACATGCATCCTGTGCCCAAAGATTATGAGGGTAGAGGGTCATGTTTTTCCTGGGAAATTTCAATCCAGGGTATAATATTCAGAAAATACGTGCTGTTGAGATGCATTACGTGCATCTGGAGAGACCACCTTTCTCCTGAGCTAATAACTTTCGATCTTTACACGACTGCACGAATTCATTGCAATTGCAAATATCCGAAGCAAAAGGATTCTCTGGTCACAAAGTACTGGCAGACGTAATAGCCGATGCCTTGAGGTTCAGGGTAGCAAGTTCCACGGTTACACTATCCGCTTCCTATGCATGCCTCCACGTTATTACTGGAAATAGAGCTTCCGATGGCAAAAAAATTCAAATTTCCGCAAAACGATTTAGGCTAATTAAACCTGCTCGAAGGAGAAAGGGGGTGGGGGGTATTTCAGCCCGATCTGGGCAAGTCTAGTGTATGCTGTACCTAATGGATGGGCTCATCCTGAAAAAAGAAAAAAGTACATTTTGATAAAAGGTCATTAGTATTTCTCATGGTCATCATCGACTCATAACCGATGAGGACGTCAAAGGGCAGTTATTACATCGACAGGAGTAGTGTAAACATTCCCAAATGAAAATAGCATAAGTGTAACGACGTCATGAAAGTAATGGAACAGTCGGAATTTTCAGCTCAACTCTATAAAGTATTCAAAATATCCGAGAAATTATCTCAAGGATCTTACAAGAGGCTGTTATAGGCATCTCCTTCTCTCTTCGGTGCCATATGTATTTTACATGTGTATTCCATCGTTTTTACTGGCGTCTTTTACCATTGCCACCTCAGTATTTTTCATGAATGATGATCCCCTTGATTTCTGCACGCCGATCCAAGGTAGATTATGATGCAAACTTGATTTTTATTGATATTTTGTTAGCATTTTTTTGAAAGGAATAACTACTACAAATTCTTTCAGCTTTACCACAAAATGCAGAGTGGTTGACGTCCGTCGTTAACGTTTTGAACATAGGTGTTTTGATAGTACATCTGTCCGTAATAGCATTACTTGGTACTAGCAGACGGAATAGGAAAGCGCTCACACCAAGAGGTAAGGTTTTCGTGAGGTAATGACATTTCTACATTTTTTCGTTACATTTTTTGCAATAAACTAGCAAATTGCTCCAATGGTTCAGCAATGATTGAGTCAATGGAGGAGATATGTAGTAACAGTTCTCGAGGTAAAATTTTCGTAGACAAATGCCGATAACTCTCGGATAGCCCCCAGATGGTCCCGACTTGAGGCCCGGTAGTTGTAGAGAGCGAAGGCACGTAGTTACTACTACAACCAGAAACTGGCCTCGGAACTCTAAGGCTCCGAAGCCCTCAACACTTGACGATTATGAGGTTCCTTCAAGTCGGATCACTGCTATCTCCAACTTTCATAAAAATTTCCTTCCCGTAAAATCTGCTGGGTAATATCAGTCCTAAAATTCAATCAGATGGAGGGAAGTCTACATTTGTTTTTTTGGGGACAGCAGCAATTGTGGTCTTGCTTTCGCAGGTGTTCGAATACATGCTGAAATCTTGAGCCAGTTAGTTGCTCTTTGTAGTTGACAAGAGCCTTATGTGACGTCTCATCACCCAGATGCTTCACAAAGAAAGGTGAACCTGACACTGAACCGACTCCCCCCCCCCCCAACCGACCTACCACGCTGCCACCCATCGACAGTGAACCTGTCAGACGAATTTCGAGGCTGCTAGGCTCTAGACTGTGATCCTTGTATGCATGACCGTGTCATTCCTGTAAACATAATTCCTTTTGTTATGAGGAACAAAATTTCCCAGACTGTGTGTGAGAACGTACTACTGCAAAGAATAAAAACAGTCAGTCACCTGCCTGAATTTAATGAATTAGTAGCACATGGCAGCAAAATTCAGTACCGTGTTACGCACAATGTTTTTCAAAATTTCAAGAGAAAATCAAATTAAAATTGTTTTAGGACAACAAGAATCAGCTGATACTCGTTCAATAACTTCTGAAGATATGAAGGTGTGTTTGTATCATCTCTGACGGAATAGTACCCTCATCAGTGTCGAGATCACATGCACTTGCCGCTCCAGAATCTTACTTATTTCTGGACTGTTACGCGACTTTAACCTTTCCCGCATTTAGTCGACCTACCCCCATTCAGTCAATTCTGTACTTAATTCGCTTTCGCCTGCTGGTAATACTGAACGAGCAGACCTTAGAAAGGGATCCAGAAGATCGAACGGATAGATAAAGGCGGATTGGATTTTGGGAATTCTGGTCAGAGAGAATTTTGGATCTTTTGGTGCTTGGTAGTTTTCGTGGAAGGACCAGGGCCTGACACGCACCTTACCTGATCTCAGATAGTCGAACAGAAAGAATTGGCGATATATCTAGTAATAGTAGTAATATTATAGTGATATAACATTTGCAGATGATGAAGTCTTTCACGATGTTGGTAACCGTTTTCGTGTGTTCATGGTGCTTTTCTACAATCATCACACATATCGCCCTGAAATATCTCCCATCTGGTCTTTCTCTAGCTGTCCAAACTTACACCGTGAGTTGCCACAGTATTCCTTTTATACTTTCAATACACCATACATTTAGGTGATCCTCGCTCTTCCCACGTACTGCCAATGCTACTTCGTCAGCTACATTCTATCACCTCGTCATCGTTCAGCATACCGTAAACAGCAAAGGATTCTATTCCCATGCCTATTTAGGACAAGTGAAAGGAACGACCCAACATGAGCGTTAACACCGGCATTTCAGGGGTTTCGTCGTCCAATATAGATATTCTACTAGGCACTTGTGTTGTTTAAATGTCTTCTGATTACCGTGGTGCGTTACCCCTTCTAAAATGCTGTTTGACCCCACTATTCAGGCTTCCAAAGTCAGTTCTGCCCTCCAGGGCAGTAAAAAATCAAGGAAAGCAAAGAGGCTCTTGAAAGCTCGGGACGATTTCTTCATGTGAGGACATACTCAGGGAAGCCAGGGGATCAGTGAGTGAGACCAAATTGTGGCCTGTCGGACAGTCAAGGAAACCAGTGAGGAGTTGAAGTTCAACAGGCTGTTCACTCCAAGCAAAAACCATCACCAGCACCGGACATTTGGTGACGATTTTTTGACCTGAAAATGAAATCAATCACTTACTAAGGTTTGGATTTCTTGGCAAGACCAATGCCAACAGAATTGTATACAACGATGCATTGTGGTACGCATGTCGTCTGATCCGCTTTTTTCTAGGGCATTCTGGTTGCTTACACCCTCTGTTTACTGACGACAAGTACAATTATCCTATTCGTGCCTTACATTTGACATCTTTACTGTTTGAACACATATCTCATTTGCTGGTTACTTGCGCAATATATTTCTGTCTGTGATTTTTGTTACTTGAGCTCTTCGTTTTTAGATTACCCATGTTTGGGGAGCATAAAACGTTACGACGTTCATGTGTATGGTGTTGTTCCAGATGGGCGGAGCCCAACCACTTACAATAATTCAAAGGAATTATTTACAGAGAACTCTTGCTCCAGTCCCTGGGACAAAGGACGGAAGTGTTGAAGAAGAGTAATTCATAAGTGGTGAAGAAAAGGATGAGATACGCAGAAATTCTCAAAGATACGGCCTTTTGGCATTGATCATACCCAGTGAAGAGGTTACGGCGGCGAAAGTGTGCTTGAACGATAAGCCGCTGTAGAACAACATGCGTTTGCTACAACATCCATCAACTGGACGCATTTGCAAAACAAACGTACTCCATTTAGAATGATATCAGCCTCTTCATAGCCGCTAAACTCGTCCGTTTTCGGAGGCACTGAGTGGCGGTGAGAAACAAAACTGTTTTCAAGCCCTTATTGTGCCCTATACAGGTCGCTTTCGACATGACAAAACCCAATAGAGTATTTCCTTTACTTAGTTGCCAAAGATCCCTTACGATATGTAGGCATCGAATTTCTCCATGCCTTTGTAGGTGTTTCCAACCCAAACGACAAAAACCTGTACTTTTCTTCCATCTTTTTCATGAGTTTCCCCGAACTCGGAGGAGCGTGACACACAAGATTCTGCACAAAAACTTGAGCAGATTCGAAAAATGGGCAGTCTATACTGTTGAATAGAAATAATCTCAGATTTGGTGTCTGCACTGGAATTGTCCCTCAGCGTGAACACTGGCCTTAAATCGATGTAAGCGGTGGTTAATCTGTCGTTCAGGTAGTTTGGAGGGATTTAGAGGGGCATCACACATTCAGAGCGAGCAAAACTGGAAGGATTGCACAAAAAATGTTTCCAGGTTTGCGTTCAGTTTGGCCGACCCTTTTTTCTCAAACCTCTTGTTTCTACAGAGAAGAGGGTTAAAGTTTTCACNACCTTCCATTGAGCTGACTCTACAGGAAACCCCATTGGTCATAGAAAGTAAATAAAGCATTGCTGCTTTGAGTGTCATTTGAATTTATGGCCAATGAAGCAGAAATGACTGTCGCTTTATCCCAAATGTGATATTAGACAGATTCAGCTTACGCTCCGATGAACGGCTGTGAAACCCACTGTAATGAATGAAGAAATTTCCTAAATCTGTGTTCAATCAGGTTTACTGCGCCATAATGTTCAGTTCTCATCGGGCGAGTCTGCGTTCGCATTTTTTGCTCCCTGATGCCTCCCCTTACGAGCGATTTCCACTGCAGACTGCACTTCACTTCCATACGCGTTCGCATTGTATTCCTTTCTTTGTGTGAACAGACAGCCTCCCAACAACTTCCTAGTTCTTTCTCGTTTTTCATTCAATTCGGTGTTATTCCATATTTCTTGATTACCAAGTAGTCCACTATACCGATGAAAAGTCTTTCTCATGCTAGAAATGGTGGGTGAAGGTTTGCAAGTTTGACTTCAATTGGAATCAAGGGAATTCTCGACTGCGCGATGGACCGGATCAGGGACTACCTGGTGAAGTCACTATTCAACTTAATGCTTTGTCCATCTACTAAACAAAGAAAGTTCGAAAGGAGAGACCGATCGGATGGACGGACGATTGCTCGGCCTCAAGTGGCTCGCAAAAAATGAGGGGTGCCACTCAATCAAGGTCGTCTTATCAACCAGGACACTCCATACACCCGACATCAATCAAAAACTTAACGCTTACAAATGCAGCTTGCTATCTCGCAGACACGGTGTGCCTCCCTCTGCACTAGACTTCTAATTCTAAAGATCTATTGTTGGTCGGATCTCCGATGCTGTCTTGGACACATCAGAACCCATTCCTCCACAAACCACCTACATTGGTTTCCCGCGTTTACGAAAATCGCTATTTCTTAGGATTGGGCGTAGCACGCCCTAGATCTACAAATTTATGGCAAAGCACTTTATGAGAAAAGATACACTTCCCATGATCTTATCGTTTCCTCCCGCGATCTGCTCCGTGGCCTTCGTACTTTTGATAACAACCAATTCGGTGGGATTTAGCGATGTCATCTACTTCTGATTTCGTAATTATTCCTTTATCGGTGAGTTTTAGATCCACTGAAAAACGAACCCACACGGAATTCTTTGGCCCTTTCCCTCTCACGAAAGAGAGCTATTCCCTCCACATTATTGTTTCTCAGATACTCGGAGACACCATGCAATTAGGCAGGTAAGCGGGCGGATGAGCAGTGGTAACGCTTGCGAGTAGGGGAAGGATCACAAAAACTAAATCGACTTCTTGTATAGCAGGTAATCCTTACCTCCACCCAATTACCTAACGTCTTTTTGGCTATAATGCATTTCATATTCATCGAAAGTAGGCACAGTGTTGAGATAAAACCGATTAGACTAAATTGAAGTGAAGGAGTGAGCAGATCTATAACATTTTCGTGAACTTGACAGCGGAACCAGTATAAACCTCATCGAGACCCCATCGACANTCCTGAATAATGAGTTACGCCGCTGAACCACACCATTCCTTCGGAAGAGGAGGTGAAGGAATCTGATCAACAAGCGAGCCCTATTTCGAAAAGGTCACTGGTGCTTGTATAAGAATTCCCCAATTCCCATGGAATTCCCCACTAGTAAGCCTGCTCGGACGACCCTTTAGTCCACTGCTCTATTCTTAGTTGGGAGAAACTGCCAACGAAATCTCTGTTCCTTCTATACCACCTGCACCAATTGAAATTCCCTCCAAGCCCTATTTAAAGGACCTCCCAGTGACGATACTGTAGAGCAGATTGCTTTCCTAAAATGAATTGAATTATTTTAATGCCCGAAGAATAGTAACAGTGAAGCTATTGAATTTATGATCACAAGCGATGTCTGTATTTTACCTAGTAAATAACTGTGGAGCTGTTGGAGATGCAGGAACTTTGAAAAATATACATCTGATCGTTGGAAGTAGGCATCGTAGGGAGATAAACATTCATTCTATTATTTCAAGCTGAATGAAGTTCGCTCAATCATCATAGGTTCTAGATCGTTTCCCTGAACCTTCCCATGTTCCACTGTCGAAGCTCTCAAGTTTGATGAAGGAAATTGGGAATGAGAAGAGCAAAACTCACAGATATCAGTGACCAATTGAGTTTTTCTGCCTTGAAGGTCTTCCCTAGCATTTCATCTCAAAAAACTTCCAAACCTTTACTGCACTTGCTGTTGAGAAGCATTGAAATTCAAAAGGTCTCCTCTTTCCTGCCAGCTCTAGTAGCATTTAAATTCCCTCCAGTTCTCATTTAAAAGGACTTCGACGAACCCTTCTGTAGATCAATCAGATCCATCAACTTTCTGAATGTTAAATAGATCCAATTATTGTAGTATTTGTATTGTAGTATTGGGAGAGAAAGTTTGGGAAAGATAACAAGTTCTGATGACCAACAATGGTGGTGAATCACTGTACAAAAAACTGCCAAATTGAAGAGAATGTTAGAACTCAAAAAAAAANNNAAAAAAAAAGTCTCGCTAGGATCTTGCAGTTGCATTGGAGCATCGAAAAAGCGAAATCGCTAATGTTGGATTTGGTAAGGGTTGAATCTAGTGAATCGGTATGAGATCCGCAGAGTATTTTCCGAATCCTTTTATCTATACTGACGGACCTCTTGAGAATGTTGGAGAATTTGATAATGAAAAAGGGAATCCCTTCGATAAATGATGGCCGCAGATCCGTCGTGGAGGTCTTCTCTCCACTACCCCTTTTCCCACAGGAACTCCTGATCTTTTGCCATATATATTTTGACAAGTAAATGGTGATGATTAGAAATTCGGGTTTTTTTCAGACTCCAGTGAAATTCGAATTCCCTTCAGACCTTTTTAAAAAAGAATGTCAATGAACGATACGGTGGAGCGGATCGATTTCATATGAATCCATTTATTCTTATATCGAAAGGATATTCACAGAGAGGGTTACAATTTTATAACAGCGAACAATGGCTGTACTTTAGCGTATTAAAATCTGCTGATTTAATGAAGAACTTGGAACTCCAGAAAATCGAACGTGCCGAGTCCATTGCAGCAGCGAAGAACCGAAGAAGCAAAACCGTCCATGTCGAATTCTCAATGGATATGTCCTGTTGAATCACAATCAGTGATAATGGAAGCCCTGCTACGGGCCAATGATGATCCCGTTTGTGATGATGCGTATCCCTCTCGGGTAGATGGGTTGGATAAAGTCGTGTACTATTGTACTTGTTAGAGCCAACTTGATGAGAGCGTGTCCGGGCCCTATTTTGTCCTTCTGGAACAAACTCCCAGTTCTTCTAGAACTACTACATTGTTATTGTGTGGAACAATGTCCT